TTTCTCTAAATATTCAGGATAAATAATTTCTTTGGTATAGGATTTAATAGGAAGGAGGATTGGCCACCCACTTCCGAAACTGCAGGCCTTCGAAAACCCTATGTACAATAGAACACACTTAGACTAGCAGATAGGGCGACTGAGGTGGAGCCCTCAAGCATGGAAACACAAAGGAGGAAGAACAATTGTAAAGAGACCCTAGTGACAGGAACATGAGAACCATGAATGTAGGAAAATTAGATGTTATGAATACAGAAGTGGAACACATAAATATTCACATACTAGGTATTATGAGATGAGATGGACTGGCATGGGGCATTGAGTCAGATGATCATATACTGGAGATGAAAAGGTTAGGAAAAATGAGGTTGCTCTCATAGTTAAAAAAGTCATTTCTAGATCTATCTTGAAATACAATACTGTGACAGGGAAATATCCATACAAATACAAGGAAGGCCAGTGAATACCACTATCATTCAGATATATGCACCAACAACCAGAGCCAAAGAAGAAGAAATAGAAGATTTCTACCAACTTTTGCAGTCCGAGATTGAGCGAACATGCAATCAAGATGCATTAATAATAATGGGTGAGTAGAATGTTGGAAACAGAGAATAAGGATCAGTAGCTGGAAAACACTGAGTTGGTGACAGAAATTAAGCTGCAAATAGAATGATAGCATATCACATAATCAATGATTTATTCATCACAAATATGTTTTATAAGAAACAAACGCAGGCTTTACACATGGAGGTCACCTGATGGTATGCATAGGAATCAGATTGATTACATTTGTGGAAAGAACCACTGGAGAAACTCAGTATCAGCTGTGAAAACTAGGCCAGGTGCTGATTGTGGAACTGAGTACCAACTGCTCATATGCAAGTTCAAGCTGAAGCTGAGGAAAATTAAATCAATCCATGGGAAACAGAATTTGACCTTGAGTCTATCCCACCTGAATTTCAAAACCATCTCAGGAATAGGTTTGAGGCCTTGAACACTACTGAGCGGAGGTCAAGAATATCATCCAGGAAGAATGCAAAAGTCATTACAAAGACAGGAGGAAGAAAAGACCAAGATGGATGTCAGAAGAGACTCTGAATATTGCACTAGAGTGCTGAGAAACCAAAGCAAAGGGAAGAAATCAAGATAATAAGGAAATGAACAGATAATTTCAAAGGGCAGGATGGGAAGAAAAAAGAAAGTATTATAATGAAATTTGCAAAGAGCTAGAGTCAGAAAATCAAAGAGACCGAACTCACACAGCATTTCTTAAGCTCAAGGGACTGAAGAACAAATTCAAACCTTGAGTTACTCAAGGATGCTTTGGGCAGAATAGTAAATGATCTAGGAAGTAATAAAAGAAGATGGAAAGAGTATACAGAGTCATTATACCAAAAGGAATTGGGGACCACAGAAGATTTTCATGAAACAATGTATGAGCAAGAGCCTATAGTGATGAAGGAAGAAGTTCAAGCTGTTCTGAAAGAACTGGCAAAAAGCAAGGCCCCAGGAATTGACAGTATATCAATTGATATATTTCAACAAACAGATGATGCCCTAGATGTGCTCACCAAATAGTGCCAAGAAATATGGAGGACAACCACTTGGCCAACTGATTGGAAGAGATCTTCATTTGTTCCCATTCCAAAGAAAGGTGATCCAACAGAGTGTGGAAATTATTGAACGATATCATTAATATCACAGACAAGCAAGATTCTGCTGAAAATTACCTAAAAAATACTGGAACAGCACATCAAGAGAACTGCCAGAAGTGCAGGCTGGGTTTAGAAGAGACTGTGGGTACTAGGGATTTTGAGGCTAATGTTAAATGGATCTTGACTGAAAGCAGGGAGTACCAGAGGAATGTCTATTTGCGTTTCATTGACTATTCAAAGGCATCTGACTGTGTGGACCACACAAACTATGGCTAACTCTGAGAAGAATGGGAATCCCAGAACACTTGATTGTGCTTATGTAAAGAAACCTATACTTGGAACAGGAGGCATTTGTCAGAACAGAGCACAGAAACACTACATGGTTCTGGGTCAGGAAGGGTGTACACCAGGTATGTGTCCTATGTTCATACCATTTCAATCTATATGCAGAACAAATTATCCAGGAGGCTGGACTCTATGAGGAGAAATGTGGCATCAGGATTGGAGGAAGACTCATCAACAACTGAGCTTGCTGAAACTGAGGAGGACCTGAAGTGCTTGCTACAGAAGGTCTAGGACTGCGGCCTCTTCAATAGGGATTGAAGCTCAATTTCAAGAAAACAAAGATTCTTACTACTGGGCTGATTGTCAACATAATGATAGATGGTGAAGAGATTGAGATTATTAACAGCTTTAGTTTGCTTGGCTCCACAATCAACACTCTTGGCACCAGCAGCCAAGAAATTAAAAGACATATTGCATTGTAAAGTCTGCTGTTAGGGACCTCTCCAAAGTACTGAAGGGCAATGGTGTCACTCTGGGGACTAAGGTGCACCTGATACAGGCCATGGTCTTTGCAATCACTTGCTATGTATCAGAGACCTGGACTAGGGATGACAGAAAGAGAATTAATGCCTTTGAGCTGTGGTGCTGGAGAAGAGTATTGAATATACCATGGACTTCTAAGAGAACGAACAGATTCATTCAGGAGAGGGTGAAACCAGGCTGCTCCTTGGAGGCAAGTATTCAGCTTCATCTGACATACTTTGGACATGTTGCAAGAAGGGACCAGTCCTTGCAGAGGGACATCATGCTTGGGAGGGTGGAGGGACAGCACAGGAGAGAAAGACCTGCGATAAGATGGATTAATTTAGTGACTGGGGTAATGGGGGTAGGTGTGTCAGAGACAGTGAGATTGGCACAGGACAGAGCAGGGTTTAGGACTGTTGCACATAGGGTCACTATGAGTTGCAAGCAACTCGACAGCACATTTAAAACAATAACAACATAGGATTTAAAACATTTAACACTTCTCTAATTCAGAATGGACTCAAGACAACCTGCATTATAGAAAAGAAAAATCCCTAAGTGTCCCAGGGTCTCCTTTTTTTTTCTTTCTGTAAAGCTTACATCTTCAAGATTTTGGGGTTTGGTTTGAGGGTTTCTTGGTAAAGATTAAAGAGACAGAGCAGCTGTGAAACAGCAGGAGAAAATGTCAATTTTCACTTTACCAAAGAATCAATTGTCTAATTACATACTCTTCACGTATTGAGTAATTTGTTATCTGGCAATTTGTGTCCTCTAAGCGGGGGAAATCTACTATTTGCCTATTTTGTGTATTAACAATGTACACCTGGCAATGACAAATGCCCAGGCTCAAGGCAAGAGTAGCATCAGTTATGATAGTTAAGGTTGAGTCAAATTGGCTGGGCCATTATTCTTAGTGGTTTGGCAGTGATATAATGATGTAGCCATTCTCCATTTTCACATAATGTCAATTTCCACAAAACGACCTTGATTTTGTAACATAGGCATGTGGTAACTGAGGAGTAGGTGTACATCGAACCAGTGCAAATCCTTTAAATAAATGGCTTGAAAATTATGACAAATGACTTAAACTAAACCTGAAGCAAAATAAAAATATGTGCATATTTAAATGTTGCCCCTATCTTCCTTTATTGTGAGTTGCTTAACTTTAACATCTGAGATTTTCAAGCTTCTCTTAAAGAAATTGAATGTTATGCTGTTTAGTCATAAATGGACGACTACTACTACTACTACTACTACTACTACTGCCATCCTTCTACTACTTTTGTGATGAAATCAATTAACTTTGTCTTTAAATCAGCTGGCTGTTACCCTCTGGAAGTGCAAATGAGGCAAAGGATAAAGAGAGATTATTTGATAGCAGGACTTTTCTCTAGCCCCTCCCCCATTCTTGAGTTCTGCTCCCACATTAGGCAGGCTGGGCTGTGGGACCTTGAGAGTTAAAGTAGTTGATAGGCCTTGCTGATGACTGTCCTCTGATGAAGATCAGGTCCGGGAAACATAATTGATCGTTGGCCTCTTCAATCCAGGCCTTTGTCTTTTCTGACACTATCCACATCTCACCAAGGATATGAAGACACAGCTTCAGAGTTTGGCAGATTGAATATAACTTGGGCAAAACAAGAAGCAATTTGCATTCAAGCCTCTGCCACTCAGGTAGTCACTGGATCAAAGAAGATGGAGATCATCTACGATGCCTCCAATTCACCATCTGATCCATAAGGTGTTTTACGTGCCAAGCCTGAGCACTGTGTCCTTCATAGGTGGCACTGCCCACAGTGATCTATGCCCTCTCTCTGCAGTTAATCTTTGCTATTTCACAAAATGCTCATTCAACTTTCAAGCTTTGTTTTCACTGCATGCTGAGCACCTACTGGTTCATTCTGATTCCATGTGACTGTTAACATACACCAAGATGTCCATTACGAATTTCTATCAATTGTTTACATCAAAGCCAAACAATATCCTGAGGAGAGAAGGATCTAAGGCTACAAAAAGTCTTAACACAATCTGCTATTAAAACTTCTTGAGGATTTCCAAATTAGATCATCTTCTTAGTCCTTACCAAGAGTTCGACTACTGCAAAACAATTCTATGCTTCTTTAGGCTCATCAGGAGAAGGAAGACATTGAAGAGACATCGCCTAGCCCCTAAGTAGTCCTTCTTACCAACCATATTCCTTAGCACCCTTTTCTGTGTACGTTACCTGACACATGCAGAGCGTTTCTGACTTCTTTTGATTTTTTTTTTAACTTAAAATTATTTTCCCCTTGGTTTAGCCTGTAGTATTTCTCCTCATTCTATAATAGATAAGACATTAATGAGAATTTGTATCAGATTACTATAGATTCATTCTCCCATATTACAAAGTTCAAAGATTCAAGGAGAAATAGTATACCTTTGCTGTTGGCATCTTGTTAGTATTTTTAAAGTAAAAATTAAGTGTTCTTTTTTTGAGGAAGTAACCAGAATAATATTTTCTCAAATTGAGAAACTTGTTGGTACAATTAGAAATCAAACATTATTTCGAACCAAATTATACTCTTTAGTTTGCCAAGATACCTTGACAATTTTAATATCTGAAGGCAAACCTATGTGATAATCCCAGCAGTATTCTGGTGATAAAATTTTAGTTGGCTTGTTGAGAAGGAAATATTTGTTGAGATGGCTTTCATCATGCCATTCTGCTTCTATGTTATTTTTCTTGTCCTGGAGGATTCCCTTGAAGCACTCCTGGGTAATGTTTAGAACCTTTATGGGTGTTCCTCCAAAAATGGCTGCATGGTAATAAAAATCCCCTTGGCCATATGGAATGTATGCTGCTGACATCTTACGCCTCTCATAGGTAAACTCATCAGGATCTGCCTTGTACCACCAGGCCTGCAGCTGAGCTACTGATTGGCCTAGGGTTTCCACCCCAAAGTTGTCTTGGAAGACCTGGTCCACATCCATGCAGAAAAGGAAGTCAACTTCATGTTGGATGTGGCCCACAATGTGTTCCCCGATGGTCTTCATACGCATCATGCTGATGTCTTGCCATCTTTTCTCGGGCTTGATCTCAAACACTTTGAATGAACGAAGAGGACTCAGCTCTACCAAAGGCATCCTGGAGGTATCATCCACCATGATATAAAAAATGACTCTGTGACCAACCATGAAGTACTTATCAGCAGATATAATGAACTCCTCTAAGTAATGTTCAATATATCTAAAAAAAAAAAAAGAAAGAAAATTCAAGTTAGCTTCTTAGATTTCTACAGGAAAGCAAATTCTATTAAGACTCATGCTGTCTGTATTTTATAGTTAGGAAGGGAATGATTGTTCCCCACTATAGATGTATGTTTTCATGTGGGTAGACATCTGTCAGACATCATTCCTGACCATTCCTTACTGATCTTAAGGAAGTAGAGTAATTTATCTGAATGCTAACTTTAGAAGAGAGATTGAACATATAATAATCCTGCCTCTTCCTCTCGTTCTCACTCTAGGAAGTTTGTCCATTTTAGAGAGCATAGGTTTTCAACAGCATATAGATTAAAATGGTCTGGACATAGGACGCATCCCTGGCATACACCCTTCTTGATCCTGAACCATGCAGTGTTTCCTTGCTCTGTTCTGACAAAGTATAGGAGATATAGGCTTTATCTCTACATGTAGAGGCCTAGAGTTTCTCAGTTCTACAGGTGTCCGGGTGGCTAAGTCTTTCTGTGGTTTAATATTAAGGACATATGAATACAAACTACAAGATTCAATGCCAACTTAAACAGTAATGGCAATGGTATTTACTATTATTTATTCTGCCTAATTGTCTTTGGTTCAGATATTGGGCAGGCAAAAGGGGTTCAAATTAATTCTTGAGCCCTTTTTAAAGGCTCTAGTCTACACCCTAAATTGCTACTGCTCTACCTAAATAGAAGATTTCAAAGGGCTGCTTGGGAAGACAAGGCACAATATTATAATGGAATGTGCAAGAAGCTAGAGTCAGAAAAGCAAAAGGGCCAAATATGCTCAGCATTTCTTAAGCTTAAAGAACTAAAGCATAAATTCAAGGCATAAGTGGCAATGCTTAAGGATGCTATGGGCAGAATATTGAATGATTCAAGAAGCATTAAAAGCAGATGGAAGGAGAATACAGAGTCATTGTACCAAAAAGAATTGGCTGACACAGAAGAATTTCAAGAAGCAACATATGAGCAAGAGGCAATGGTCATGAAGGAGGAAGTTCAGGCTGCTCTGAAGAACTTGGTAAAAAATAAAGCCCCAGGAATTGATGGAATACCAAGTGATGTATTTCAGCAAACAGATGATGCCCTGCATGTGCTCACCAAATTGTGTCAAGAAATCTGGAGGACAACTACTTGGCCAAGTGATTGGAAGAGATCCATATTTATTCCCATTCCAAAAAGAGGTGGCCCTAAAGAGTGTGGAAATTATTATACAATATCATTAAATATCACATACTAGCAAAATCCTGCTGAAGATTATCCAGAAAAGACTTGAACGGTACATTGACAGAGAACTACCAGAAATACAGGCTGGGTTTAGAAGAGGCCGTGGCACTAGGGGCATTATTACCAATGTCAGATGGATCTTGGCAGAAAGCAGAGAGTACTGAAAAAATGTCTATCTGTGTTTCATTGACTATGCAAAGGTATTTGACTGTATGGATCACAATAAATTGTGGCTAACCTTGAGGAAAATGAGAATCTCAGAACACTTGATCATGCTTATATGAAACCTAAACTTGGACTAAAAAGCAGTCCTCAGAACAGAGCAAGGAAACACTGCATGGCTCAAAATAAAGAAAGGAGTGTGTCAGGGATTTATCCTGTCCCCGTTCCTTTTCAATCTACATGCAGAACAGATTATTTGGGAAGTAGGGCTTTATGAGGAGGAATGTGGCATCAAGATTGGAGGAAGACTCATTAACAACCTATGATATGCAGATGACACAACCTTGCTTGCTGAAACAGAAGACGACCTGAAGCACTTGCTACAGAATGTCAAGGATGGTAGTCTTCAATATGGATTGAAGCTCAACATCAAGAAGACAAAGATTCTCACCACTGGGCCAATTGGCAGCACCATAATAGATGGAGAAGAGATTGAGGTTGTTAGCAACTATAGCTTGCTCGGATCCACAATCAACTCTTAATATCAGCAGTAAGGAAATCAAAAGACAAATTGCATTGGGAAAATCTGCTGTCATGGACCTCTCCAGAGTGCTGAAGAGCAATGATGTCAATCTAGATACAAAGGTGTGCCTGATCCAGGCCATGCTTTTTCACAATTACTTGTTATGCTTCAGAAAGTTGGTCAATGACTAAGGATGAGAGAAGAAGAATAAATGCCTTCAAGTTGTGGTGCTGGAAGAAGAGTCTGAACGTACCATGGACTACCATGAAAACAAATAGGTCTGTCTTGGAGAGGGTGAAACCAAGTCTTTCCTTGGAGGCTAAGATTTTGAAGATAGCGCAGGAGAGGGAGACCCTAGAGGAGATGGACTGATACAGTAACTGGGATGATGTGGGTTGGTGTGTCAGAATTAGTGAGAGTGGCTCAGGACAGGGAAGGGTTCAGAGCTGCTGTACATGGGGTTGCTATGCATCGCAGGTGACTCTACCAGTAACATTCTATGACAAGTTTGGAAGCAGGAGTGGCATCCACTTCTTAAACAACTTGCCTCCAGAAACTCTATGAACTTTGATAAATGTTGATCGTTGTAGAGGGGCTTCAGGCCTTTTGTTCCTAGGGTCACTATGAGTTGTGCTCGATTTGAAGGCAATCAACAACAACAACAGCAATTACCAGATGTAAGAATGATGTGATTTTGGAGTCCTTTGGAGAGTCATCAAACCAAATCAGCATTTTTTACCTTTCTCTATGACCCAGAAAACAGATTCTGGGCCACGACTCTATATTACAAATTTCCTCCATATTACATATTTTACTCTGTTAGACTGCCACTGGTCACACACAACACTAATCCATTATTCAAACATCATAATTATAAGAGTTACCCCAAAAGCAGAGCAAACAATCTCAGCTTTAAATGTATTTTAATCATTTATCTATTAATTCAAACAACATTATGTTGATGCTCTCTATCATTTCAAGCTGCACACTGTCTTGTGAAGACATGTTGGGAGATCACAGAGAGAGAAAAAGAAAGAAAAGTCAGGAACTTTAGTACAATTCATCCAAATTCAAAACTCAGACTCAATGAACAATGACTAACTTTAATCTTTTGCTGACCAGATTCCTGGCCAGTCATGACATTTTATGAGTAATGATGACTGACTTTTCAGATATTCTTCTCCCTGCTTAAACTGCCTTTGTGCACCACCAAAATAGTGTATCCACAAAATTGGCCTCTAAAAACTCAAGGGTTTATTGTATTAATTCTTCAAATGGAGAAAGGATACCTGAGAGGGAACTGGCAAAGCTCTGAGGCTCATGGCCAAGAAATTCTTTGGTCTTCTGGAACTTTTATGAAAAATCTATTGTGTCCTGAAGCTCAAGAAACAATACAGGCTGGGGGAAAGTCATTGTGAGATTTAACATTGCTTAGAGATTAAAGCACTGCCTTTGATTCATAGCTTTGTCATTTGAAAGCAAACCAAAAATCACACCTCCTAAAAGTGCATATCCAATAGTGGAGATTTATTGTTCATTGTCCGTGAGACAAATAGCCCTCTCTGGCTACAGAGCTGAGAGCACAGTGTTTTCACCAGGATGTGTGATTTAGAGTTCAGTTCTGTGAGGTAGTAGGTGACATGCTGTTCTTTTTTGGAAAAAACTCAGTTCAGATTGAATTAACAATGTAGCCAAGTTTTCTTCTGTTGTGCCAAATAATTAGGTGAGTTGTGCTTTTGATCCTGACTCATTGATTCTTTTAGTAAAAATGTCAAAACTCCATCATTAGCTTTCTCTATTGGTGATGAAGTTTTAGGTCCCTAAAATCAGCATATTCAGTGGAGGAAGACCTTGATTAGCGTGTGTCTGAATGGACTCAACAGCACATTAATAATAACAGAAAGGATAATGACAATCAAGGGTTCCAGGCACTGGCTCAGGAAGGTTGTGCATGAAGAACACCAGGTCATCACAGAGCTCGCCTTCAGGCCTTCCCCGAGGCTAAGAGCAAGGGCCTGGTAACCAGGGCCTCTAATCATCTTTGTACAAGAGAAAGGCCTAATCAAATTTCCATTTTTGCTTTCTCAGAATACATACATATGGGATGGCCTAGAAAGATGAAAATAGGACAATTAAACTTTTGCTTTTGTTATGTAAGTGGGAGAAACCAATAAAATTGAAAATTCTAAAAAAAAAAAAGAAAATTGAAACAATATTTATATAGCTGTCACTTTTAAGCAAGAAAATGGTATGAGAATTGAGGTAAAAAAAAGATTATGCTTTGAACAAAGAAACAGAAGCGGAAAAAGGAGCCAATCCAACCACTAGACTAGAGAGAGTTCTAAGCAGTCAAATCTTTTGAGAAAATCCTACAGGAATTGTGAGGTGAAATGACCTGTGGAACCCGTGGAAGAGTGGTCCACCTTGCTCACACATGGAAGGCCACTGTGAGCAGCTTACTATGTACCTACATCTACCCTACAAAGAAAAAACACTTTCTATAGAAGTAAAATGAAGAGATTTATTCAATGTGCAAAGACAGTTTAAAATCAGCGAGATTTCCAAATTTACTGGACAATGAAGAAAAGAACATTCTTGTATTATTGAGGCAGGAAGTAAGAGTTACAAACTCAAAATCGGCTGAAAGATAATCAAAGTAGTCAAAGGTGGCTGGATTTAGCAGAGTTAGGTATATAGCACTTAAATTTGTTAGGAGTATGTGTTCTTCTGTTTATTATAGGATGGTCCCAAGATGGGTTTTGGTAACCTGCTGTTAAAAATTGCTTTTTCAAAATTTTTTTTCTTCTTAATCAGAAACAAAAGAATAAAGTAGTAGAGTATATGTGATAATGAAACCAACTAAGATTATCTCTCTTTTGTACCAAGGAAGTGGTCAAGTGGAACTTTTTATACTTTTTTTTTTAATTGTTTTTTTTTGGTTTTTTTTTCTATAATTATATTTTATTAATTTTCATAAACATTTACAGAGATTTTGGGCTTCCACTCATTCATTGTTGCTCTATTCTTTCTACCCTCCTCCCAGTTTGTTCTTGTCCAAATGCCACAGTGCTTGTCAAAGCCAGTTCTGATTAATCTTCTTTGTCAGTGTATCCTTTGCCATTCCCTATCACTCCTCCCTGAGAGAGACTTCACCCTGAGTCATAAGGAAAAGGGGACGGCGTATTCTCTTAGCTACTTCCTGCTGAAAAGGGACGCTGTGGGTTTCAGGGTGAAGATCTTCTCTCACTACTCTAAAGGGCCCCTTTGGCAGTAGGAAACACATAGACTTTTATGGAGATTGATTTTGGAATTCAGATGCACTCTTATTGATTGTGCTTGGCTGTACATGTACATATCCTTCAAGATGTATCATGGGGGTGTTGCAACCTAGAAGACACAAATTTGACTAACAAGTTATAAGTACATGAGTCCAAAAATTATGGAAAAGTAAAAGAAAAGATTCTTTCATTGTTTTACAAACCCTCTCCCAGGTCCCCTCCACCATGCACCCCTCGCTCTAGTCTCCTGTGATGACAGAAATACCCAGTTACATCTCTCTTTTAAACGGTTCTCTCCCTCCTCTGTTTCAGCGCAGTATAGATTATTGAACCCATCTTACTCAGTCTCTCCCCAACCCCAAGGACAGTCCCATTCTACAACAGTGGCATCATGTAATATTTGTCCTTTTGTGACTGGGATATTTCACTCAGCATAATGTTCTCCAGAGTCAACCATTTTGAATAATATTGCATGAGTTCCTTGTTTTTTAATGCAGCATAGTATTCCATTGTGCGAATATACCACAGCTTCTCTAGCCATTCATTTGTTGATGGGCACTTAGGTTGTTTCCAACTCCTTGCTATTGTGAACAAAGCTGCAATAAACATGGGTGTGCATATATCTGCTTGGATGTCAGCTATGGTCTCTTCAGGGTATATTCCCAGGAGTGGAATTGCTGGGTCAAATGGTATCTCTATTTGCAACTTTTTGAGAAAGCGCCATACTGCTTTCCACAGGGGTTGCACCATTTTACACTCCCACCAACAGTGAATCAGGGTTCCAGTTTCTCCACCACCTCGCCAGCATTTGTTGCTTGCTGTTCTGTTAAATTTTGCTATTTTGACTGGGGTGAAATGATATCTCATAGTTGTTTTAATTTGCATCTCTCTTAGGGCTAGGGATTTTGAGCATTTCTTCATGTGTTTGTTAGCCATCTGAATGTCGTCTTCGGTGAAGTGCCTGTTCATATCCTGTGCCCATTTTTCTATTGGATTCTTTACCTTTATCTTGTTGTGGTGCCAAGTATTTCATAAATTCTGGATATAAGTCCCTTATTTGATATGTTATTACCGAATACTTTTTCCCAGTCAGTGGCTTCCCTTTTTACCCTACTGGAGAAGTTTTTGGATGTGCATAACTATTACTTTCAAATAAATGAATATGATTTTTCCCCTTTTGATTGTATTGTATGATTTATTTACATAAAATTATTGAATTATTGGATTTACAGCTACCATTTTACTTTCTTTTTTTAAATTCCTTTTTTCTTTGTTATACATTTTCTTCTCCCTCCCTCCCCCAGCACACCCAGCAGTGCACCCTTTGTTCCAGATTGTTCTCATACATATAATGTACAATCATAATCCTTTCAGACAATTCTACCCCTCATGTGTTCTAATGCAGTGTTCATTAACTACCCACCTTTTTCTCATTCCCTCCCCAGTCACCTCATGTCTGTCCTATTTTATAATAATGGTGTCCTTTTGTGACTGAGCTCACTCAGCACAATGTCCTCAAGGCTCTCCCATGTTGTGTAATGTTTTACTATTTCATTGTGTTTTTTTATTGTGGTTTTAATGAAAATTTACAAAAAAAGTTAGATTTTATTTCATTATTTTTCAATGCTGCATAGTAGTCCACTATATGAATGTATAGTTTGGATAGTATAGAATGGATAGTTTTTCCTATCCTTTTGTTTGTTGATGAGCACTTGGGTTGTTGCTTCCTTATCTTTGCTATTGTGAATAACACAGCAATACACATGAGTGTGCATGCATCTGCTTGAGTCTGGTTTCTTTAGGGTATATTCCCAGTAGTGGATTTGCTGGGTCAAATGGTACTTCTATTTCAAACTTTTTTTCTAATTTCCAACTTTTTGAGAAAGTGCCAGACTGCCTTCTACAGTGGTGGTAACATTTTACATTTCCACCTGCAGTGAATAAGAGTTCCAATCTCTCTACAACCTAGCCAATATTTTCTGTTTGCTGCCCTGTTGAACTTGGCTATTGTTGCTGGGATTAGATGATATCTCATAGTTGTTCTACTAAATATATATTTTTAATTTTGTAAACATAGACCATGTAATGTTTGGCATAGTCTTGGAATTAAAAATTATAGTTTATCTGAAATGAAATAATGTAAGTATACTAAAAACTTATTCTCTATTTAAAATGAAAATGTGGAACCACTTATTAACACACATGCACACACCCCCCCCCCCCCCCGCCATGCTTTCTAATTCATGTCTGCTTCTGGGAACATAATGTAAAGATTTACTGATAATGTAACTCTCTGGAAATAAGCTTGTTCTTTTTTTCTTTTTCTCCTTGCATCTGTTTGCCAATAGTAGAAAAACCTCTGGTCTGGTTGTGCTCTACATTTCAGAGAAAAAGAATATCTCTCTTATGGGATAAAGTTAGGTCAATATCGAGGTTATTACTTCTATTATATAATTTGTTTTGTTGTTATATGATACCTGGCTCATAGCTGATCTTCTAGTTGTTCAGACATTTTCAGAGGTTGTAAATCACACGGGAGCAGAGTGCCTATTTTTCTCCCTCTGAGTGGCTAATGGAATGGAACTGCCTGCCACTGGATTGGCAGCACAGCTCCTCACCACTAAATCACAAGAGCAACGTCAAAACTCAACACATCCACTCAACAATTCACTCATGTCAAGAGTTTAAAATGGAAGGAGTTAAGGCTCTACTTCCTTAGCAACTAATACTGCATTTATGTATACCAACTACTTTTGGTTATAGCCTCTCGTACATTCCATGAGTCCACAGTTGTCTGACAAATGTCACTGGGATAGCAGAGGTTAGTGGGTGGAAAGGGGTTGAAGTAATCAGGAAGGTTCATTGAGGTCTTGAAAAATGGGGAGATAATAGGTATAGAACAATGGTAATTAATTATACAAAATATAATGCAATGAATGATTGTATAAAATACGAAGTACATATACAAAGCATGATGTATATGAAGGATTATATGCAAACCAATAAAAAATTTCAAAAGAAAAAGTAAAGGATAATTCGTGTCACTTACTTTCCAATAGCAAAAACCGTCAAACCCACAGTAATTTTCTGTTTGGCATAATAATTTTCCAAGATGGCGCTGTTGTAAGTTCCTTCCCATACAACTGGGGCATTCCACGTAGTCACTGTCACAACTTCTGGGCGATTCCTGGTGATAAAACATACAGCCCGTGGCTCAAGACAGCTTTGTTAAGGTGCAGCAGACACTGCAGAACAACTGAACTTAACTATAATCTATGCTTACTGTCTGGATTCTAACAGTTAAGCTAGACAAGTGAGTGGCTGAGTGGTGTAACATGTGCAACACAGGGATAAGATGATTTGACCCCCATGCTTCAGAAGTTATTTTGGGGGGACCCTCAGGGACAACCATAACTCTCTATCTCCTACCCTTTCCTTCTTTTGCTTTCCTTCTCGTCCTTCTAAATCCCTTTCCTGATCTCTCTCACCCCTCCTAAATTTAACTCTGCCAGTGGTACCCTCAGGCATGTTTATCCATGTGGGTGGCATCTGAGCCCCTAAGGAGCCCTAATCCTTGTTTAAGGGGGATGAGAGGTAATAGAGAAAAAGCAGTTTCAATTTATCTTTTATCAGAAAAAACTTCGGGATAAGCACCTAGTTACAGGTCAAAAGGGTCCTGGTATAATTATTTTGCAAACAAGGAGAGAGAGAGGGACCCTTAGACAAAGGCTGTCAAAGGCCACACTGGAACATGGCTCAGGAGTAGACCCCTTCAACTTTTACTAAGAGTCCAAATAGGGGAGGGGAAAGCATGTTCTCTTCACTCAGCAAGCTTGAAAGGGACTTGGCAAAGTCAACATAAACACAGGAAGCCAACAATGACAAAAGCACAAAACCATAAAGGGCAATTGCAAAAGGATGGGGCCCAGCGTGAGGGTGAAGCTCCTGCAGGAGGAGACGGCAGAGAACCCAGCTGCAGCTCCTATCACTCAGGAAGTGGCCACGTTTCCTCTGCTGGGAAACAGACTAAAACAGTCATTTAGATTCAAAAATAGTGCAGACCACGCTCTCTGCCTAGCATTTGCTTGCACTTCCCTGGGGGAAACATCTTTGTTCAGATCCCTATTTACCTTCTGTCCCTGGGGTAAGCAACTTAGGCAGAGTCTTGCTGGTCCCTGCCACTAGGACCTCCCTGGCCTGATGAGACTGTTGGTGTGAGGTGAGTGAATAGATGAGGCCATGGCACTGTTCATTACCCTTCACACAGCCAGTACTGCCATGAAGCAGAACAAAGGCTGGAGGTCCGTGTCTACACAACCTGGTTGCCAACCTATCATTAAAGCAGTATTTCCCCACAGTGAGACAAGGCGATGCTGGGAAATCCTTCACCTTGCTCTAGTGCCAGCAGTGGTATGAACTCCTCAGAAAGCTCTCTCTCAGGCTTCTCTCCCGTCCCAAGCTCTGTTTACACGTCCTGCCTCATGAGCTGCCTCTGCTCTCCATTCCCTCCCTTGCCTGTTTCACTCTTCCAGGCACAACTCTGCCTTCAGGACCCAGATGTCCAAAGTCAGAGGAGGACTCATTTTCCTTCCATCATGGAAGAAGCTACTGTAGACTTGATACCAGCCTGTGTCAGACACCTGCACATTCACTTTCTCATGTAGCCCTGGAAAAGGCCCCCCTACATCTACCCCAAAATACATATTTTTTTAAACCCCAAAATGAACAAGCCCAAGGCTCAGAGAGGTTTGTTAACTTGACCAAAGCCACACAGCGGTTACTGACTGTGGTCACGAAGAAACAGCACGTACTTTCTTCGGGATCAGGCAATGTCCTAGAGGGGGCTTGTCTGTACTAAGGGCTTCATTCTTCCGAAAACCAAAAGCCCAACTGCTGTCATGTTGATTTTGACTCCTAAAAATCCTTCATTAAGTTTCCAAGGCTATAAATCTTTACAGGAGAAAACCATTCATTTTTCTTTTGTTAGAATGCCTGGTGGGCTTGAACTGTCAACCTTATGGTTAGCAAACTGAGTTTCTCTGACTCTTTATTCTTCTGTAATAAGTGCTCTTTTGATTCCCATTAAACAGATGAGAATACTGTAGCACAGAGAGATTAAACAACTTGCCCAGGGTCACACAGCTAGTAAGAGACAAAGCTAGGATTTGAATCTTACATAGTCTGATTCTGGAGACAGTGCCTTGAACCACCAAATTATAAGATTTCTTATATGGGCATATACTGTTATAGTGATAACTAAACAACTTACCTCACTACCATCAAGTGGGTTCTGGCTCACAACAACCCTCCATTGGGCCTCTGTCTTTCTCTGGAGGTTGTAAATATTAATGGCAGGAGATTGCTCACTTTCTCCCAAGGAGCTGCCAGGCAAGTCACACAGTTGGAGACATGCCACCTTTTGGTTATCTGAGTGGCATGGTCTCCATGTCATCAGACCATGTCATTAGAGCTCCTCTTATCCTGAAGAGATTGGGGTTAAATCCCACATTTGTCCTCATCTACAGGTAACACTGTTTCCACTAAGCCTTAGCCTTTCAGTCAGGACTACTGAGAAATGATGAGTATTTTTAGAAGCTTATGGGGTCCTTGGAGTCACAGAAAGTCTTTGGTTTTGTTGAATGACAAGGCTTCAAACCAGAAAAACCATGAACAGACACGTACTCAGCTACCACATTTCTAACTGTCATCTCTGAACTTAAATTGAAACTCTTCCTTTTATTGCTGTTGTCACCATCTCGCTCATGGTAATTCTGCTTAGCTTGTCAAGAATCTTTGAGCACAACTGACCCAGTTTGCTGGCTGAGTTTGCAGCTGTGTTTGAGCAACATATTTGGAAAGGAGGTGATACTATTTCAATTTGGAGAAAGAGAGAAGGGGAGAAAAGGATGATAAATACACTTATTTAACATTTGGTGTGCACCCAGGAAGATCCCTGGTGGTGTAGTAGGTTAAGGGTTGGGCTGCTAACCAAGAGGTCAGCAGTTTGAACCCATCAACTTCTCTGCAGGAGAAAAACGGGATAATCTCCTCCCTTTAACAGTTTTCAACCTTGAAAACCTGATAGAGGGTTGCCACAAGTTGGCATCAACTTGACAGCAACTTGTCTGGCTTTGGGTTTTGGTGCACCAGGAAAGGAGCCCCAGTAGCACAGTGGTTAAGCACTTGGTTGATATTTGATAGGTTGGAGATTTGAACCCACAAGCTGCTCCAAGGAAAAAAAAAAGGTGTGGTTGTCAGTTTGCTTAAAGATTACAGACCCAGAAACCCTATGTAGCAGTTCTAGCCTCTAAGCTACTGCAAGTTAAAATCAACTCAATGGAAGCAGGTTCAGTTTGATCTTTCTGCACTAAAGTTCGATACATTATCTTAGTCCTTTAATCGTCATAGTCACTTTATGAAGTCAAATGCCATCATCTCTATTTTAGAAATGAAGAAAATAGGAGTAAGAAAGGAGAAATTCTACTTTTAGCCATTTCACTTCTATTGAAAGGCCAGGCTTGGCCCCTCATTCTCTCATTACACACTCCCTATATCCCTGCCCTGTACCAGGCTCAGTGCCAGGCCTTGAGATGAGAGAAATGAGACCTATTCCTGTTCCTTGACAATTTCTCAGTCATGACAGGTGGTCAGCATGTTCTATACCCAACTACTAGACCACTCAGTTCTTATCTTCTAGACAGATGGAAATCAGAAAATATAGTGCCCAGCTTGATTACATGGATGAGAAGGATTCCATCTTGCAGGAATCTGTGACAATGTTAAAAATTAACTTCTCATTAAAAATTAAAATATTCTATTGCCCATCTGCTAATTATTGAATTAACAGCACTTTCAACATGTCAGTGTCCCTAAATAAGTAGCCAGATAACAGCCTGAAAATGTAAGGCAGAAAGGAGGAGGAGGAGAAAGGAGGGAGAAGGACATAGAGATAACCCTCTGGGATGAACCTTCATTAAGGAGCCTTAGTCATCAAAGCTCATGAAGACTGGATACAATAACACTAATAAGAGATGTACTGAGCCACTTCATAACAGAACTAACCAAAATAAAAAGGGCATTATAGACTACTACTATGGAAAAAAAGATACTACTCCAACAAATTTGGAAAACTAAAAGAAATGGGCAAATTTCTACAAAAACAAAACTAATTAAATTAACATAGACTGAGGTAAAAATTGGAATAAACCCTAACAAAAAAAGAAACTTAGTAGGTCATAAATTTCTCCTAACAACAACAAACAACCCTCCTGTTCCAGACAGCTGAAGTGGGAATGCTAGCAAACATTTAGTGAACAATTGACATGAATTCTATTATAACTATTCCAGAACACAGAAGCAGAATAGAATACTTAGGAAATTATTTTATGAAGTAAGCATAACCCTGATACCAAAGCCAGGCAAAAATACCACTTGAAAAGAAAATTACAGACTGATATCCCCTATGAACATAGATGCAAAAAAAACCTCAATAAAATCCTAGTCAATAAAATATAAACCATATTAAAAAAATCATGACAAAAAAAATCATGACCAATTCATACCAAATATGCATCAATGGTTCAACATTAGAAAATCCATTTGCTAACTAAAGCAAAGGGGGGGAAAAACCCCATAAGATTAGATCAGTTGATGAAGAAAAGATATCTGATATAATCCAATACCATTTCTGATAAAACTCTTAGTAAATAGGAAGAGAAGAAAAATTCCTCAATGCAATTAAGGAGATATATGCAAAGTCAAGAACCATCCTTTGTTTTGTTCTCAAGGAACAAATCCTGAAAGCATTTCCCTTGTACATGAGAACAAGATAAGGATGTCCTTTATCACCACTTCTACTCAACATTTGATTGGAATCACAGGGCAATGTCTGTGGCATAGTCTATAGGTAGTTGTGCTGCTAAGTCAAAGGTCATGCCTTTCCAGCAGTTTGAATCCACCAACAGCTCTATGGGTAAAAGGCAGACAAGATCCTCCCATGTGATTTGCAGCCTCCTGAAAGCCCACTGGAAGGTCAACGATGAGTTGGTTCTAAGAAGATGTCAATGAGCTTGAGTTTAAGCCAGGGAAAGAGAAGATAGGTCTCTAAATTAGTATGGAATAAGTTGTTGATGTTGTTATGCATCATAGAACTGGAATTGACTCATAGCTGACCGTTTGGATTGGCAG